TTAGGCACTTTATTATATTATCGAGCAAATAATGGCATAAAATCAAGTTTGTTGTATGGGAACCCCACTCAAATATTTATATTATTTTAATTTTATTTTGTTTTTAGTTTTTTTTGTTTTTAACGGTGACAAAAATACGTCATATGTCTAGCAATCACGGTTCATGAGATACAGCCTGGAGACAGACAGACAGTCAGTGGAGTTTTAGTCCCGTAGTTTGGGTCCTGTTTTTACCATTGGGATACGAAACTTTAAAAATATTTTGAGTTAAAATATATTTTTTTACTATACTTCGACTTTTAATTAGCTGCAGTAAAATGACGTTTCAAAATGTCATTCCGTAAAATAATGTTGACCGCCTAATTTCAATAGGGATGTGATTAGGTTCAAAGAAAATATAATCGATCCATAACTAACTCATAATGATCATACTTAATTCTATTTATTATTTATAAAAATAAAAGGCTATATAAAATCTCTAGTTGGTACTGGTTTTTAGTTACGATGCTACGATGAGGCTTGTCCGCCATTTTTTTTTTTATCTTATAGGGGGCATACGAGCACACGGCTCACCTGATGGTAAGCCGTCGCCCATTTACACTTGCAACACCAGGAGTATCACAAATGCGATGCCTGCCTTTAAGGAAGGAGTACGCTCTTTTTTTTTTATTATTATTTTATTTGTAATTCGCTCATTCGGGCTTCTAACTCCTGTTTTGAGTGCACGAATAGCTTTGCTTTGCCCACTGCGAGTTGTTTCAGTTATCATTGTTATTAAATTTTTGTTACGTTGTGTTTGTTTTTCGTTACCTACTTATTTTTGTTAATCGTGTCAGCTTTTTTTCGTTTGTTCGTTTGTTACATCGAATAAATGGATGCTCAGTTGAGCATATCACAAGATGGAGATACATTTTTATCTCCTAAGAAAAAAAGGGCACGTGTAGCTCTAAGTGCAGACGAGAAACTTTGGGTCAGAAACGTTTACAAATATGTGAAGTGAAATCTACAGAATCAAACATTGAAGTTCCAAAAACAAGTGAATGCGTGAACAAGGTGGCTGAAGTCTTGGGAATATACCTCCGCACTGTTTATTCAATTTTAAAGCAGCACAAGGAAAACGACTGTGAATCACCAAAACCTCCCGAAAAACCTGGCCCAAAATTTACATTTAAAGAAACTTGATGATTTCACATTCACCGCTATTAGACGAATTGTACATCAGTTCTTTCATAGAAATGAAGTACCATCGCAAAGGTTAGTTTACCTGTCATCACTAACCTTTTTATTATACGTTAGGTATAATATGTTAGACAAATTATAGAGGTCACGATATATTAAGTTGGCATGTTATATTACGCAATTATAGTTTACTTTTAATTTACATTATACTAATAAAAACACTCTCTGTTCAACCTTGTTTCAATTACCATCTCCGATCTTAACTTCATCACCTGGTTATCACCACACTCCCACCCCATGTGGAATTTTAACCAATTAGATTCAAGAGTGACTGACCACTAAAATATTACATTTGAACCAAATATTGTGAAGGCCACTCTCATAGATATTGTGAAACAACAATATCATACTGAGAAATATGCCGTGGACGAGATTGCTGCACAAAAAGGTTTACTGCTGCACAACTTTTAAGACTGCCCTCTTATTACTATGAATTGAACCCTATCGAGTTGGTTTGGGCTCAGGTAAAAGGGCACGTCGCAAATAATAATAAAACATATAAAATGCAAGAAGTGAAAACTTTATTCCAAGAAGCAATCAACAAAGTGACACCGCCTAAGTGGAGTGACTGTGTGTCTCACACTATAAAAGAGGAAGACAAAATGTGCCACCTCGATCATATTATAGATGAAGTGACAGACAGATTTGTCATTAGTGTGACCGAAAGCAACAGCGGTAGTGATTCCAAAAATGATTGACTAATAAATAACTTTTTGTTTAATTTTGAAATTAAATGTTATGACTTTTTGTTTAATTTTGGATGTACGTCCCTATACTTCCAATGAAAATGATCAATCCTTTACTATAGGTAGTAATAATAATAGAATAAAAAAGCATTACAACTTAATATTAAATCCCTTATACAAAACCAAACTGATCATTCATCTATTGAATGATTCATTTATTGAATGATTCACTTACTCACTTAGCTACATCCCTATTTATTTTTCTTCAAAAAGCGGTAACCCACAAAACGTCATTTTACTGCAGCTAATAAAAAGTTCTACTTTAGTTAGTATAAGTACATAATGAAGATTGACCAAAACAGTTTCAGTAATTTATTTATCATAAACAAGTTTCAATAGTTTTATTTACTTTAAATCTGTAGTGAACATATTTACGTCTAGCTAACCCGGCGAACTTCATGTCGCCTAACAATCAAGTCAAACTTAAAGAATGAACATATGCGGCTTTTTTATAGCACTTTAAAAGGGCTATAATTCCGTTATACATGATTTGTGAGTTACTTTAACCATTTACGCATTACATGCAACGGAAGCTCTCAAAATAAAAAATATTTTTTCCTGTTTTCGCAACATTTTTCATCGATGCTCAATAGTTATAATGTTAAGTCATATAGCCTATAGCCTTCCTCGATACAAGCACTATTTAAAACAAAAAGTTTTTTTGTTCAATTCAAAATTCCTAAGATTATTTTAACCAAACAAACAAACACTTCAGCTTTATAAATAATATTAGTACAGACATCATAAGTAAATCGCAAGTATCAAGCAAATACGTCGCAGTACACGAGGGTGACGTCGGTAAATCACAGTGCGCTCGTGCATTGTTGTATGAATTGCGTTTTTTTGAGTGAAATCGATCACGATGTATCCGCCTTCGACCCGCCGCTTTAAGTACTTATACAGTGTTTATTTACACAATGTTACTTGCTTCGAGTGGACCGACCCGGCAACTTAACGTAATACATTACAATTGCAAGAAAACAGATGCCGCAAAAACTGCTTACTATTGTCACTGTAACGACATCTGAGAGAGAAATTATTGGTAACCAAATAGTTTTTTTTTTAATTACTAAGCAAAAGCATGACATTAATGTAGGTACCAAAATATCGATAGTATCGCTCAAGAAGGTAAGCATATATTAATATTATATATCAATTAACGTAAAACCGGTAACGTAAACTATCGTATTTGGAGAAATGAAATTTTTATATTGACAGGCAAATACTAAAAAAACACTTAAAAAAACCTGTAACATAAGACTTAACATTTTTATATCTCAGATATAAACCTCAAAATGTTCGATATTACGTATACTTATGAATACTGTTAACGCGAGCTTTCTTTTATGTCAACTAGTTTAGAATAGCAAAGCCAGGCAGATCTTAGCGTTAGGGTCAATTGGAGTTACGGGTTTCCCTAAACCAAATCATCGGCCGAGACCTTAATATTTCTACACTATCACACTGTCATCGAGTTATGTCAAAACAAGATAAAAGATCATCTCATTAATTCAAAAAACCTGATTTTAGTCAACGGATTGAGATAAATTATCTTTTCGGAGTGTAAGCTAAGGCGAATATGATACATGGCTTATAAATATGGATGAGAAGGCGGTACGGAGCTTGACAACGCTACTGCCATGCTCCGGTATTGTGCTCCCGTCATTATGTCTTCAACTGTTGAAGTAAAGGCACTCCCATTCGCTCCTTTGTAGCTCCTTCCGAATAATTAGAGCATAGGCCATTGTAGCCGCCACTCGGAGTGGCAATAAAGTATACATTACAAATGTAAAAAAAACCTCTCGAGCGCCGTCACAGAAGGGGCATTTTGACAGTTAATTTTTGTCATTGTTACGTCCCCAGTATAGCTCGGGCTTTTTTCGATTTGAATGTATTTGCAGGGTTTATGCACGTATGTTTTGTTGATAGGGCAATGAGAGGCGTGAGAATGTTACTGATATTAATATTGAAACAATACAACAAAGTCAATAGAAAGTTCACTTGAAGTTCTCATTTAGTAAAACCCAATTGAGATTGTTTTGCACACCGCATTTTGTAGGTCGAAACAAAAACTGGTTCGTTTTTTAAAAGCTCCGCCAGATCTCGTTCGGAGTTGATTTAAAAGAAACAAAAGACTCGCGACATTTGTGCGCACAATCGTTATATCTAATTAAGTATTTAAGTAGTGGAATAGTAGCAGAGATTATCTAATGTACATTTTGTTCCGATCGGCCACTTTCCAAAACCAAACTACTGTTCATATTGCAAAAGTGGCCCAATGCAACAAGATAATATCGTTCATTTAACCTTAACTGATGCTATCTGAATCGTAATTTATTTGAGACAATCGTATTTGGTTTTATGACGCATTAGCCGGCGTGGGGTGAGAGAGACCCCACGTTATCTGTCAGTAAGACACTGTTGACTCCGGGGTCCCTGGGGACTGAGATTAGAGGATCAAGGGGATGACGCTTAAAAATCGCTTGTTATATTTGTTGATCGCTTTATAGAATGCGCGGGTGCTATCGTCGACAAATTTCCTGTTAATAATATTTCAATAGGTTTATACTTATTTTAAAATATTTTTGCACTTTTTTATTTTTTAACTCTCATAAATCATCTCTTTATATAAAGAGCACAATTTTTGAGGCTGCAACCCAAATAGACAGTTTCATGTCTTTGGTTTAGGCCCCAAGCCATCCTTAAATCTGTAAGTTAATCTAATATTTGATATTAAGTGTCTAATAATATCTGATGCGTTATGGCGATATTTCTTCACTTCTATCGCGTCGTTATTATCGCAGCAGTGTGTAACTTCGTAGCCGTTCTCATACATAATGTACTTAAAACAAATATCGCAAAAACGCATTCGATTTATCGATCGATAATAACGAGCCCATGGGGATTATCCCTATACTTTAGACACCAAGTTATCCTCGAAAGATGTAAAGTAAGGTTTAGGAGTTTGGTTTATGTTGGTTCACAAATATCTTTTAAACCTGTGTAAGTACTCACGTTATGTAGTTTATAGTAGAGTCCGCAAGCGTTGCACACTGGTTCTCCATTTTGGTTGCGCCTCCATAATGTGGTGGTCGTAGTCTTGCAGTTGGCACAGGAGGTGCCCGCCCGTCTCGCCGCACTCTGCAGCGACTGGAAATAATCGTAACATCATTAATATCACCGATGCAACTGAAGCTTTTAAAAAATCATAAATAAAAATAGTTCTATCTCAGCTGGGAATCCAACCCACGTAATACGTAGCAGGCAAGCCACTGAACCACTGAACCACCAAAACTTCTTGCTAAGATCTGAATATTTTTATTAAAAAATAAATTTTAATGCAGCATACCAAAGATGAACGAAAAGATGTGTGGTGTTGTAATAAAAGTTTAACTTGGCACGTAAAGTTATCAAGTTAGAAAGTTAAGGACTAAGGAGACAACTTTATTTAAAAATCGTATTGAATATAAGTTGACTTTTCTGCAAGTGACGCGCATAGGTCCATTCAGTCAAGTTTAAGAACATAACTTAAGGGATAAAGTCCACGCTTAGGCTTGTACATGTACCACAACATGTGGGAGAGCACTAATTTTAAATGAATAGTTGAATTCACACAGAACACATTTTCTAAAGCAGATCGATAAAATTATATAAATAAATATTAATAAATAATAAAATTTGAATAAAAACGACTCTTCCACGTTCTGATTTAACTTTTTCATGCATTTAGATATTCAGTCAGGTATCAACAAATCAGTTTTCCAAGATTAGTTATATTGCTACAGAAATATATTTCAAGTCTGAAAAAACTATCATCATAAATCAAACGGTTACCAAATCATGTTTAATACATATTTTTAGCTCGTTATACCTATTTATGCTGCCTGCATAAAAAGGCAGCAATTCATGTCCATCATAGTCACAACATCGTTAGATGACACATCTAGTCAAACCGGTTGCTTTAAGCAACATCTATCTACCACCAGGGACCTTCTTCCATTGTCTATTTTAAATCCAACGCATCACTTTCCTTAAACATGACCAGAATTATTAATATAATAATGAAATTACGATTCACACATCATCGCAAAATAACTTTACTGGTTGTCATAAAACAAGATTCCGATCCATCCAGCGTCATTAAGAACATTACAAGAAGTCACCTGCCGCGTGATGCTTCCTACATTTATTAAAACAAACTTCGTCCGGGCAAAAAGTGGCTCTGCACAACGGCACAATGAGAAATTTAGTAGGCCATTAAGTTCAATGTTTAAAAAAATCAGCATTAAACATGACAAAATCGAGTCGCAGCCGGGGCGACACACAAAAAGTGAATATTCGATACGAAAAAGCGAGGTAGCTAAATGGATCCACGCACCTGCCCATTACTACCCGTCAATCAAATAAAAAATAACCACGGCATGCGGTGGCCGTTTTATACAGTCCACAAAAGTGCCTCACTCAATTAAAAATGCATTCGTCCTAACCCGACACGAGAAAATAAAAGAGCAACGCAATCCGACTCATAATAAATCCATTAATTTGTCATGTCATTTATCGGACAAAAAGCACCGTGTAAGCTGCGGGATCGAATGACGCTCGAGATGGTACCAACAGCCCTCAGTTACTAGGAACGATAGCAAATACTATCGTGAATGTACCGTTATTTACCGAATTAACACCGTAAGTCCAAAACAGCAAGACACAATAAATTAGAAAAAAAGTTAGACAGTTTGACAAGAAGGAAAATTATTCGTGTTTGATTAAACTAGGTTGACAATGAGGAAATAGTTGTATTTCAATAAATCTGCTTTCGGGGTAAAAAGCAAAGAATGGTTGAACACCCTTATTTATGATTTTAAAGTAGTAGATAAGTACACTTATGTGTTTTACTTTAGCAAACACAGTGCTAACAGTCTAACCTTATTTAGTTTGATTGTAATTTATTCGCATCAATAGTAATGCTCTCTGGAATATCTAAATATTAAATGGTTTGCGTGAGCATTCGCCGCGTCATGCCAGTATTGTGAGATTAGAACTGGTCATAAGCATCGAATGACTTTTTCTTCCCACCACATCGAGCGGCCATATCTGTCATGAGCATTTGTTTTTAAAAAATGTAGGACAGCATATATTAGTTTTTTTTTCTTCGGAGCTATAAAAGGACGGCGATTAAAGCGTGATTCTCGGAAGGTGGCAGTTTAAAACATTACCGAAGTTAATGTTGATGCGTTTGACAGTTTCATCCTTAACCAAGCCATGTAATATATTTTTTTTTTCTGTTAACTAAATATAAAAGTAATGTGTATACACGACTTCATCCTTGACGAGTATGCGAATTAATTAAAAATTTGCAATTGTTACATTCTTTAATATTTAATTTAAACTGAGTTATGTGAATAAAAGAATACGGTGTTAATGTTAATGTTCACAAATAACATTACTTAAACATATAAACAAAATTATGTAACTTATGTTAAAAACTGTATGAAAATCCTTTTAGTAGATAATCTTTATCATACATAGGCACGGCGAAGAGCTCTATTGTATAAAGTAGTTTCAAAATTATCTAACTGTTATTTTGCACTTATGAATCAAAATTAACTGCGTAGGTACTTTACGACTCAATTACGCTGAGCCGATTTTATAATCTACAGATAAGGTGTCCCATCAAGTCGCGGCGGATGCATCACGGTTCCCTGGGGAGAGTCTAACCGAACCCTAACCCGATTACAGGAGTCAACCGCTCGCCCGCCGAGTCGGGTGGTTTTATTTCCCGACGAAAAAACGGCTGTTTACCCGTAATTTTATGAGCGAATTACTTTCGCTCCTCAAACGCTGAAATGGCTGGAAAAGCTCGTAAACTTTACGGTACGGATTATATTTTATACGGGCCATTCGACATTGGAGTCACGGACCTCAGAATTGGTCGACTGATCGACGGTATAACGTACACTTTTTTCTAGTTGCGCGTTTAGACCGTCTTCCAGTTTTTATATTAGTACTATTGAATTTTGTGTTTGTGTTACGTCTTTCTGAAATTAAAACGTAAATTTTGTTGCTCGGTCATTTTTCATTTTCATCAACAAGCAAAAGCAAATCGGATTCGCACACGAATAATTCCGTACAAGACTGTTTTTATGGAAGTGTGAGGATCCCCATAATTTTAAGCATCAATAGAAATGGGTTATCCGTACAGGCGTACAGACGTATATAGCTTGGTAATAAGATTATGTTGTTACTTATCCTTTGGGTATAATACGTAAAATATATCCGCTTAATTGAATTTATTGATTTAACGTCATTTATGGTCACACCCAGAGATTACACTTAAATAAAATGCTTACACAAGCACAACACGTTACTTAAACAAGCATTTTATTTAAGTGCTATCGCAAAGGAAGTGAGAGTGTCAAAGATAAATTATTAACGTCTCCGGGTGTACCTGTTTGTCACTTACTAAATGGCTTACTCAGTTTCAAGCACTGTTACCAAGCCTCCCGATTTTACAGGAGATATCCTGTTTTTTTGAAATGGCTCCTATTCTTCTGTTTTTCTACATGAATCTACTGGTTTTCTTAGAATACGATTTTCTTTTTTAAATTGCATGTTGAGTTGTGTTTTCCGCCATTTAGAATATAGGAAATCTTAATTATAATAAAATGAATACGTTATTGGCTAAAAAAAACAGCTTTGAGGGACGGCAGAAGTCACAGAAACACATTCGTTACTGGCCTATATCTTGATTTGATTTACCAATTCTTTTTTCTATAACGTCTCTAGATTTTTAAAAATCGGACCTAGCAACACTGGTTTCAAGTTTGAATATATATGTATTACTACCTATACATTCTATCTTACTAAAAGGAAGTAAAATAACAGAGTATTTCAAGCTTGAAAGGACGGGGGAACTATAAAAAGGTCACGCTATTAAATTTTTCCATGAAAACAAATACAGAAAAATAAATCAACAACACTCACAACCAATGAGGATAGATACGATAACAGATTCCCAACATTAGAATGCGGAGCATGCACGCACTTGTACCGATCCCAGAGAGTTTTATTAATTGTTAAACCCATTTCACTGTCAACGACATTCCACGATCATTATCGTACAAGCATCGGTTAAAAAAAATACGTACTATCTAATACAAAACATGCCGACAAAGGTAAAAAAATAAGTGCGCGTAACATACTCAAACGGGCGATATCCACTGCATATTGTCATGGTGGTACTTTAATTTTCAGTGTAGTGTAAACTCAAAGGAGCATGCGCCGTGACAATATCAAGGGGCTTTTGTGTTTGTCACAAACAAAACGGGCTTTGTTGTTTTCGGCATGAAAACGGGAAATGCCGAGTGACCGATGTAAGTGCTCAGTTTGTCTAAAAACATACATAGACGACTCAAAATCGGAAATATGAAATATTTAACGATTAAATCAGCACATTAACGCAATGAATTAATACGCCAACAATCTGCCTCGAACACATTCAATGATTCCACAAAGTTTTATCGCGACTTTAATAACCGAATGAACATACAGTTAATTATCACCAGCGAGCCCATCAAACGGATTAATCCCGCGTTACTTCACAAACTTCACTAATTCAATAAAGCACCCACATTAAAAACATATTTCCATGCAGCCCTCCCTTGCAGCGATCCAATCACTCTTATCTCCCCCACCGTACTGCGAACACCTCCTAATCAAATCAAATCACAGCCTCCGTCTTCCCTAATCTCTACCTATCTATGCTTAAACATAAAATTATATTACAAAAAGGGATGGCTACCTACCCCTCATATATTTGCAAACACAAGCGAAATTTAACCTACCCGGAAACAGCCCTCCGCGTTACCAACACAGCTTTAGCCGGAAAATACAAACCTATTCGCACACTAGCGCCACCGCGTGGGGACGCGACACGCACACAAACCGGCCTATCAGCCTATCTACGACATCTAGATCCCACTACGAGAACCCCCAAGGGGGAGGCAATCCATTTACTAGGGCTACCATCACATTCGAATACCTCACTTATCGATATAAACTTAGAGATGACAATCGCGCGGCAAAACCGCTGTTTTTAAAGGTTTACACGGCCCCTAGCAGTGAAAGCGCGGAATCGATGTAGCCTTTACTCC